TTACACACAGTAGTTTACCAGGAAGTCACTGATCCCCAGGAGAGATGTGTATTGGGCAGCTATGTGAGCGCCTAGGTGTGACAAAGTTAAATGTTTTGGTGGCATGAAGCTTGTTAGCTCATCAAAAAAATACAATAAAATCCATAAATTAGCCACAGCATTGTATAAGCTGCATTGCTCAAAGTATGTGAGAAAAGTAGCAGCTTATATTCTGGAAATTACGGTACTACCAAATCAAGGTTTTACTTATTCTCTGTTAAACTGAGTTAATATAAACCATTCTTCTGTTTTTTTAAAAATAAGTTGGTTGTAAAAGCCATCTTGAAGTGAATCCATTGTAGATGCACATCTGACTATTTCCTGGAAGTTCCATTACAGTCTGTTCAGAGGCTCACAATATATTTTGCTAACAGACTTGATCTGTTGATCACTTGTTCTAAATGGTTAATGAACATTTTCAAACATAATCTTTGCCAAATGTTCTTAGTGCCCAGATATGTTGAGACTAAGTCTCGGCTATTACCACATCAAATATTTGGTCACTGTCACACAAGGGGCAGAGGCTTCCGTGTCCATTTGCCCCCCTCTTATAATGCTGTTATTCCTAGTATCACTCAGCCTCTGTGAATAGCAAGTGGACATCAGTGCACTAACAATCGGTCATTAGGCTGATGGTCCTCCTTGATCATGTGAACAGCTAGTTTTGTCTGTCACCAGAAACCTGGTTGATCCACTATGAGAAGGGGCAATTTATTAGACTAGACTGAGTTTACTGCAGCTCCTCTGACTGAAGAAGTCTTTTGGATTAAAAACAAAGTGTTTCAATGTTTTGTTTGTTTGTTTGTTTGTTTTTTGAATCTGTCCAGAGGAACTGACTTAACGTTTAGATTTTTCTACCTGGATTATTGAGCATGCATCAGGATATCTGGTCACTGTGTTTAAAATTAACTAAACTATAGCCAATTTTTTTTTTTTTTTTTTTTTTTTTTTGAAGGTTGGCTGCGACAGCCAACTTGAATTATCCATCCATCCATCCATTATCTTTACCCGCTTATTCCATTTTGGGTCACGGGGGTCGCTGGTGCCCATGTCCAGCAATCACTGTGCGAGGGGCAGGGTACACCCTGGACAGGTCGCAAGTCCATCACAGGGCCACATAGAGACAAACGACACAAACAAACATTCAGTCTCTCATTCACACCTAGGGACAATTTAGAGTTACCAATCAGCCTAACATGCATGTTTTTTGTCTGTGGGAGGAAACCGGAGTACCCGGAGGAAACCCACGCATGCACGGAGAGAACATGCAAACTCCACCCAGAAAGGCCCCTGGACCGGGTTTGAACCAAGGACCTGCTCGCTGAGAGGCAGCAACTCTACCAGTTGCGCCACCGTGCTGCCCAACTTGAATTATATTAAAACCAAAATGTAATCAGTTGAAAATGTACATTCAGTAATTACTTTCTGTAAGTTTAAAACAATTGTCCAGTGTTTCATGAGAAATTATGGGAAAAGCCACACACACATGCAACACACACTAACACCCCCCCCCCCCCCACACACACACACACACACACACACACACACACACACACTAGTTTGGCTTTTTATATTTACAGGGACTTTGCATTCACTTCCATTAATTTTTCATTCATTTCTATAGCCTAACCCTGACCCTGACCCTAACCATTATCAGTACATACCTAACCATAAGCCTAACCAGTACCAGCACATACCTAACCCTAAACCTAACCAGTACCAGTACATACCTAACCCTAAACCTAACCAGTACCAGTGAATACCTCAGTGAGCCTCAGCTTTAGCACTAAGGTCTCCACTTCACACTTTAGACTTAAACCTAACCCCTAACCCACCAATGGCACTTCTTATGGGGCCTGGGATTTGGGACCCATAAGGAGCAGTTAGTCCTCACAGTGTAGCATAAGTTGGGAAAAATGGGTCTTACAAAGTAACATAAACAAAGACACACACATTATACACAGTACACAGGAAAGAGCACTATCATCCACCTTCACATTTTAGAAGTGAGCAATAACTATCTGCTAAAATTGCAAGTGTTCACATTTTGAAACACGGCTGTTACTAAATTTTAGATCTCCTGACCTAAATGTACTGATTAAATATGAAAGTTCATGTTCAATAAGCCAGGTAAAAAGTCCTGACACTGGTACTGATACTGATAAAATGACTGTGAGGATTTCCACATATTATGCTTTATTGTTCCAGGTCATGATAAAGATGAACTCTGCTCAGAGGAGCTCTGTAACTGAAGGTGTAGTCAAGGTTTTAGTTGCATACAGGGCAGATGCTCTTGAGGCAATGTTCGGGTGCAGCTCTGTCACTGCATTCCCGACCCTTCAGGGTTGTTGAAGTAGTTTCGACTTTTTCAAAAAGAACTTTCAAGCACAACTTTGAACATTTTAGGAAGCTGCTTACCTTTCATGTATATTTAATTTTCTTTTCTTAGTGTTAAACAAGGGGGGATCTTTCTCCCAAACTTGTCTTTTCCTTTGCTTTTCTCTGTGTGTGGCGGCTGTCTTGTATACCTTTGTCTACCTGTGAGACATGTTCTCAACTGGGCAGTTGGTTTTGACTTGAATAGTTATTGGATTTTTCTTTTTAAAGCTCAATTGCACTGGGAGTATTTTGGGTCAGTTACATTGGTTGGACAGAACATGATTACAGAGGGATTTCTTTGTCACCACAGCTACTGTCATTTTCACCTGCTCTTTCATTTGAACACACACCTGCACACACTGTCTTTCTGTTTCACACACAATTGTGCCAATATTTGCCTCTTCAGATTTTACTAGTAGCCTTTAGCTGCTATTCATCCGCCGCAACAGCCAGTGGACTCTAGCTGCGTGAGTCTGACTCGCTAATCCCCAGCTTGAATTACTGTCTTAATGAGGGAGAGATGAGGACTCATACAGCGATGGCGCCTCCATCCTTCAGTTGTTCGCTTTCAGCTTACCATCCTTCACCAACTCTGTTTCAATTTTGTTCTCTCTTTCTGTTTAAATTACCAGTGCTTTCTCTCAGTCTACAGCTACTTTTTCCAGCTGAACTCAAAAATACATA